TTTAAAGCAATACCATATCTAAAAAAAATATCCTGGGCCAGGGAGATAGCTCAGTGGCTTAAGCGCCTGCCTGGTATGCATAAGGTCCTGATTTGATCCCCAGTACAAAAAAAAGAATAAAAAAAAAATAACCTTAATGAACTATGGCCATATATGTGCCAATTATCCAATCCTCCCCCAAATTCTGAAATCCAAAACATATCTGGACCTAGGCATTTTTTGTGACGGGACACTTAACTTAGTTTCTTTCTAATATGAAATACACAAATTTATTTATTTTCACAAATTTATTTTATAGTGGGCAGGGAGCCATTAGATTCCTGTAGTCTTCTCCACCTCTTAACTCTAACTGTTCCCTCCCCACAAAAAAAAAGAAAAAGAAAAAAAAAGTTTTCTTGTTGCTGTATTTGTTTACATTGAATTTCCTTTCAGTTAAAAAGTACCCCATCTTTATTTACAGTTGAAATTGGATTTTACGTTCTGTTTCCACCTGTTCTTAGAATAGTGCATTTCTCCCATAATGTATTTCCTGTGGTATACCATGTCTTATGCCTATTTATTTTTGATACTGGAGATTGGACTGAAGGCTTTTGCGTTGAGTTATATCTCTAGCACTTTTTTGTTTTGAGACCTAGCCCTGCTAAGTTGCCCAAACTGGCCTTACAGTTGTGATCCTCCTGCCCCAGCCTTTTAGAATGTTGGCAGTGTATCACCAATGTAGGACACCACACCCGGCTTCATATTCTTCATATTATTGGTTGACTTGTTAGTCTCTTTTGAGACAGGGTCTCTCTGTGCATTTCAGGTTGGCCTTGAACTTCCAGCAGTCTTCCTGCTGCCGGCCGTTGAGTGCTGGGATTACAGGCATGCACCACCATGCCTGGACGTTCAGTCTTTAAATTCTATTTTAGACTTTCTGAGTTGTAGTAATCTCCCTCCCTCTGTACTGTGTCTTTCTCTATTTCTGCCTCTCCTTCACTGGTGGTTTTGTGATCTTGGTAGAATGTGTCTAATTGTTATATGTTGGAGAAGAGGAAGGGAAGATGTAATTGACAGGGATTGGTAGAATCCATCCACTGTTGTTATTAATATCTTATAGTTTGCTTTTTCTTCTGTGCTTACATTCATATAGTTTTGAAACATTAAGGATAATTCTGTCTTCATCATATAGATGTGTGAACTATGGAGAAGCCTAGAGAAGCAGGGACTTGGCTAAGAACTCAGAATAAGTTAGCAATCAAGCCAAAATTTAACCCAACACCCCTTCAGGAATGGCTTTTATAGCTTTGTGGAGAGAGAATAACTCATTTTGGGGTGAGATTTGATATCATCTTTGATAGCATCAGTTACTAAAAAATGTGCATCCTGGCTTCTTAGGCATCTTGGTGTTTTTCAGAGGAAGACAAATAAAACGTTTCTGATTCAATTCTCTCCTGGTTGATAGAGTAGGTGGCTTGGTTTCACTCATTCTCACAGCATCTAAAATACTTAGCTAAAGAGCAAACCTGTTCTGTTCTGTTCTTCTCAATTTTATACCCCAGAATCAATTTCTGTAAACTTTTAACGATTTATTTTGGCATTTCCTTTTATTTTTCTAATTCTGCTATTTCTAGACCTCTTTTTTAAAAACAAAACTACTTTAGTAGTCGAGGACATAGCTTCTCTATGCTACTTCCTTCCTCATTTTTCTTGCCCTTCATTCTCCTTGGCATAGTATGCTTTTTATTAACTTAATATGTGGTATCTTCATTGTTATAATTGCCGATACTGTTTGTTTAAACCTAGCCCTGCATTATATTTCTTATTTTTGTACAACAAAATACTTTTTGTAGTTACACATTGTTAAAATTTTTATTTGCTCACTTATTTGTATACCTGCTACCAATTCACTAATATAACAGATCTTTATGCAGTGCCTACTATGTGCCAGGCATGTAATCTTTGGTGCTGGGATATGTTAGCAAACAAACCAGGCAAAGACTCTTTCCCTTGTGCACACTGTGGGAGACAGTACGATACATAAAATGGTATGCTAGGAAGGGATAAATGCCAAAGGAGCAGCAGAGAAGCAGAGCAGTGGCAGGTCGTTAGCAATTGAGGCACAGGCGTAGGTTTTAATATTAAACAGTGGTAATAGAGTGGAGTCCTCCTCAATAATTAGTGCCTTGGACAACATTCCCTTCCATTTTCCCTGGTGGCTTTGCTTCCTGGAGCTCCTGCCTGCTAGAGTCAGGATTACATGCTGAGCTGCCCTGAATCCCCTTGGACAACTCCCCAGGTTGCATGATTTGTTCCATGTCCACGTCTTCCTTTAACTTAGTTCCCTCCCTCTCTTCATTAAAACATTTTTCCTGTAGCTTCCAGAGAGAGGGTTTGTGTAAGCGGAAAGCATCGAGAGCATAGATGTCTTCAAGAACTTTTAACCTAACCATACCTCTGAAGAAGGTTTGGTTCAGTTCAGAAGTCTGAGTTGGAAAGAATTTCCCGCAGGATTTCCAAGGCCTTTACTCCATTATCTTTAAGCTTCTGGTGTTGCTGCTGAGGTGTGCAGTGTCCTTACGATTCATGATTCTTTTTGCATGTCACCTGAGTTTCCTTTCTTTTCCTTAGCTTGTTTCTTTTATTTTTAAATATTTATCTAGTGTGTGTGTGTGTGTGTGTGGCCAGCTCAGCCCACCAGGGGGCGGGGCTGGCTGGCATGTGGTGCTGGGGGATCAAACTGTGGTCCCTGTGCTTTGCCAAGCTTGTTCCAAGTAGGTGCTTTAGACCACTGAGCCATCTCTCCAGCCCATTTCTTTTATTTTAAATTAAGTTTATATAGTGGTACATTTTAGGTACACATAATGATCATATTCACTATAGGGAATTTGTACATGTACATGATATATCGTGATTCTTTTTTTCCGTTTCCCTCTTCTCCTTTCAACCCCTCTATAAAAGCTTTGTTTCCATTTTTTTCTTCTTTTCTTTTCTTTTTTGTTGTGTTGTTTTTTCTTTTCCCTTCCTTTCTTTCCACCTCTCCCCTCCATAATTCCCCTTCCCATTTGAACATTTTCTTCCCATTTCACAATATCTTATACATTTTGGTCCTTATTTCACTTTCAGTTTCTCATGCCAGAGAAACAATGTGGTGTCTACACATGTGTGTCCTATTTATTTCATCAAAAGAGTGTGGTCTCAAGGTGCATCCATTTACCTAGAAATGTGACCTGGTTTTTCTTCCAGAAAACTTTTAGGATTTTTCTCTTTATTCAGGGTTCTACAATTTTATGATGTTGGGCCAGGGCTTAATGGAGTTTTGTTTCAATTTTTTGTGCTTAACATTTAATGAACTCACTAAGCGCCTGCTTAGGCAAGCACAGGAACTGGAGTTCGATGCCTGGCACCACATGCCGCGCTGATACCACATGCCAGGCCGGCCCCACTCCCGGGCACGCTAAGCACTGACCTACTCCAGGCATGGTGGTGCACGCCTACAATCCCAGCACTGGGGAGGCTGAAAATAGGTGGATCAAGTCTGTCTGCGTCTAAGCTGCATAGTGAGACCCTATACCAAATACATTTAAAAAAAAAAATGAATGAACTCTTCTTAGGGAAGTTTTCTGATCTTACTGCTTTGTTGGTTGACAGAAGTAACTACATCGTCTGCATCTCAAGGGGGAGGGCTTTGGTTGCTAATGTTTGATCATGCCAGAGTATGTTGGATTTATTGAGTTTATTTAATAGGCAGCATATTATTATCTTAAAAATTATTGATAGAAGGTCGAATGTGGTATGGTGAAAGCCTGTAATCTCAACTCTTGGGAGGCTGAAGCAGGAGGATTGCTGTGAGTTCGAGGCCAGCTTGAATTGCATAGTGAAGTCCTCTCTCAAAAAAAATTCATTATATAAAATAGGATGTTTTAATTTGTTTTTTCATTCCAGCTACTAGAACTAGAAACAAATAGAAGGTCTTTAAAAAAGACAGAACAAACAAGTGGAAGGTCTTGTTTGTTTCTCATTCATTTTGCTTCTCAGTTTCACTGGCAGGTTTTACCTCTGTCTCCTCCCACTCAGGCCCAGGGCTTGAACCTACCTCCTCCCACTCTGTACACAGGAAGTCTCCAGGCATCTACTGCAGGCTGTTTTCTTACTTCCAGGCCCTTACCTCCCTTTCACTTTTCTTAGTCTTTCTGATATCTGTTATCTATCATTTAGTGTTTAATGAACTCACTAAGCGCCTGCTTAGGCAAGCACAGGGACTGGAGTTTGATGCCTGGCACTGCATGCCGCACCGGCACCGGTACCACTTGGTGCTGGCCCCAACCCCGAGTCCAGGCTTTTCTTGGTCTTTCTGATATCTGTTATCTATCAGTATTTGTATTTTTGAGATAAAAATATTCACATAACAAAACTATGTTCTCCATTGTAACCATTTAAATGTGTGTAACTCAGAACTCCAGTGGTGCAGTCAGTTAACGTGTGCTACTTATAAGTATACAACTCCCATTTTTTTATAGTACATTTAAAATGTTGTGTGACCATCAGCATTATTTAATTGTAGCACATTTTCTTCATCCCCAAAGAGAAACCCCATATCCATTAAACTTTTGGTTCCTATTTTCCCCTCCTGGCAAACAATTCTACTTTCTAATTCTGTGGATTTGCCTGTCATGGGCAGTTCATATAATGGGATCTTTTTTTTTCTTTCATAATTTTATTGCATATAATGGGATCTTATATGTGCCTTTTGTGCTTGTGTCTAGCTCATTTCACTTGGCATATTTGTAAGGTTTATCCATGTGAGAGGATGTATCATTGCACTGTGTTCTTACATCAGCCTCTTCAGATTTGATTGTTTACAGACAAAACTTTGACATTCCTTATTGCTACTTGAGTTTAATACTGGTCTCTTACCCTTTTCACAGAACATTTGGTGGCTACACAATAATATTAAATAATTTAATTTCATTGTAAAATTAATTTTAATGTTTCATATACACTGTTGGTTTATTTTTTAGTATGCGAGTACTGAGGTTGATGGGGAACATTATATGACTCCAGAAGACTTTGTGCAACGCTATCTTGGACTATACAATGATCCCAATAGTAACCCGAAGATCGTGCAGCTCTTGGCAGGAGTAGCTGATCAAACCAAGGATGGGTAAGGATCTTCATGTACTTTCTGAAAACTAATGCTATATATTACCACATTGAAAATTAAAAACCCTGGTTTTGGGAGATAGCTCAGTGGTCTAAGGGCCTGCCTGGCAATAACCTAAGTTCGAACCCTGATGCTGCATGGCATGCTGGCCCCAAAACCACGCCTGTAATCTCTGTGCTGGGGAGGCTAAGACAGGATAATCACTACGAGTCTGAGCTGCGTAAGACCCTATACCAAATAAATAAGTAAAAGACTTTAAAAAAGAAAACCCTAAATTTTACCTATGTGTGTCTACAACTTTAATATTAGTAAACCATATCTTTGAAGCTTGTAAACTAATGTTACTGGCATTGGCAACAGTACTTGTATTTCTTTCTTCTTGAAAAGAGTGACATGGGGAAAACTGTTTCATATTGAATAATTGTAACAGGATGGGTTCCAGAAAACTGTGTTCATTCACTCAATAAATACTGAAGGCCTGCTGTGTTTCAATGTGGCTCTTGATGCTAGACTATATCAGTGAATGAACTACTCAAATGTAATAAACAAAATAGAACAATAAATTATGGCATGTTAGGGGGTATATAAGTGCTATGATGAAAACTAAGACTATAGGAAGTCTTTATTTATTTATTTGGCAAACGTGTATTTGGCAAACATATTTGACAATGTTGGGCCTTACAAATGCAAACAAATAAAATGAATTTTCTGGCTTTCATAAGAAGCTCATAGCCTGGTGGGAAAGAAGACGCAAAGAAAGAAAAAGGTAGCCCTTCTATGATGGGGTAGATGTGTGGGAAAAGTATGGGAGGTCCCGAGAAAGCATGACTAACTCTGTTGAGTGGCCAGGACAGCATCATAGAAGAGGGGAGAGAGAGGAGTGAGATGTGTCAGAAGGACTTGTGGTAACTGGACAGTAGCGAGGAGAATCCTGGGAAAGGAAATAGGTGTGGCATGAGATGTGAGTCTGTGCTTGTGTGCTTGGCAGCAGCCAGGGGAGGTCTTCAGTTATTTGGTGTGGCTGTGTCATTGCTTTGTTGCTACTGAGTGGAGTTGGGACCTTTTATGTTGAACTTTGACAATTTCCTGTAGGCTTATAACTTCTAGTCTTGGAGGGCTTTTTTGTTTTGTTTTGTTTTTCTTTTTAATTTTGGTAATTTTATGGACAAAGAAGTAGCAATGAGATAGTTTCAAAACAGGTTAGTAGTACAGTTACAATAATTAATACATTGCAGATTGTTGTCTTTGTAGTAGTTGTTCCTTGGAGTGCCTCTGTGTGGAGGTAGTCACAGGAGTAATAAGTTGCATTTTCCTAGAGCAGTGGTGGTGGGCTGTTTGGAGACTGAATGCCGAACTGCAACCCAAAACCCACTTATTTATTGCAAAGTGACAGCATTGCAGTGAAATCTGAATACTGAGGTTTTAGTTCAGTCATAGATTAGCATCTTTTGTCTTAAGAGAAAAACATGATAGCACATGTGCCATAGGTTCCTCACCACTGTTCTAGAGTATCAATTCATTCAACACTGGGGAAAAGTCATTATTATTATTATTATTATTATTGTTATTATTTTATGTATTTGTTACAGGGTCTCACTACACAGCTTGGACTTGTAGTGGCCCTCCTGTTTTTAGCCTCCCCAGTGCTGGGATTATAGGCGTGTGGCACCACACTGGTCTCGGTGGCCCACTCAGCATGCCCTGGGAGTGGGGCCAGTGTGGCATGCTGGGGATCAAACGCCGGTCCCTGCACTTGCCTGAGCTATCACCCCAGCCCATTATTTTTATTGAAATTGTATACAGCTGTTACTTCCTTAAGTTTGTTTGCTTAGTTACTTTCTTGTGGCTGGGATACAGGCTGGGTCCACAGGGTGTTCAGGGTCTCAACTAGATCAGACTCCTAGTGATTCTCCTGTTTACAGCCTCCCAAGAGCTGGGATTACAGGCACACACCACCATGCCCAGTCTCAATTGCTATCTCAACATGCCCTGGGGATGGGGCCGGCAAGGCAGGCCCAGGGATCAAACCCCCAGCCCCTGCGCCTGCTTGCAGGCACTTTAATCCACTGAGCTATTTGGCTGGCCTGAGGAGAGGTTTTTTGAACTCACAGTTAGAGGCCCTAGTCAGTTGGCTCCAAAGCAGGATAGCATGGGAGAGGAGAGCTGCTCATGCGTGGTGACCAGGAGGCAGAGGGAAGAGGGGAGTGGGAGAGGGCAAGAAACCCTTCTAGGTTGTTTCCCAGAGGCCAGACCACCCCCCTCTCCTGACCTCAGTCACATTCCCAAAGCTCCGCCCGTGAGCGCTGAGGCTCTTGGAGGACATTGAGGTATAAACCATAACAGACTGTATTTCAAAGCGAATGCAATAATGTACACGAATTCTATAAAGAAAAAATTGGCTTGCAGTTTTCAGCTACATCCCCAAACCTCTAAGGGCCCAGGATCTTTATCGTACTTGTAGAGGTGCTAATGTGAAGAAACTATGCAGAAATGACTCTTTAAGAATTATTACCGGAGGCCTGCCCTTTAGCTCAGTTCTTTAAGTGGCTGCTTCAACGAAGCAGTCAGGCTCAGGTTGCTGTGGTTCGATCCCCACAACTCAAGCCAGCCAAACCTGCCCTGAAGGCATTTGGAGAAAAAAAAAAAAAAAGAATTATTACCATTACCCCAAATATCAGATTGATAGGTTGGAGCAGGAAATCCAGTTAGGTGACCCTTGTAATGGTGATCTCCCTGTTTATAGCCTCCCAAGAGATGGGATTACAGGCACATGCCACCATGCCTGGTCTCAATTGCCATCTCAGTGTGCCCTGGGGGTGGGGCCGGCACAGCAGGCCCCAGGATCAAACCCTGGCGCCTGCACTTGCTCGCAGGCACTTTAATCTGCTGAGCTATTTGGCTGGTCCTCTGTATTCATTTTTATTGTCCTTCAGAACCTAGAATAATATATGAAATGTATGACAAATGTTTGTCAAATAAGTATTTTATGAATTAGAAAGATTCTGAGTGGCAAGTGTTAGGAACATAGTACTTTTATCTATTCTCCAAAAATGTCAATCAGTTGCTAAGTCAATGGACATTCAGTCATAGAGTCTCAGTAGTAATTAGGCAGCAAGGCCTATGAGAACTAATTATATTTAATCAGAATTTCTTCTTCACAATGATTAAAGGTAACATGCATTTAGCTCTTTTAGAAATTTTCTTTCTTTTTTTTTTTTTTTTCAAGGTCTTTTAGAAATTTTCATAGTATGGATAGCTACTGAGAGCTGCTTTTAGAATATTTGTGTCTTTTCAAATACTTTCTTTTGTGGCCATGTGCTCTTGTCCATCTCAGGTGTGTATTTTCTCTAAAGCTTCATGTGGTTCTCTTAGACTGAGTTGCATTGTTAAAATAGGCTGTTTTTCTTATGGTCAAGTGGACTCAAGGACTTAAATTGCCAGAGTAGAGTAGATCAAAGACGTGTTTTATGTAGTGGAAGATGTAATAATAATGTTAAGTAACATTGACTTTAGAACCTGTTTTACTTTTTAAAAGACAAGTATATTCTTCTTCAAATTTTAATAACTTTTAAAATTTCCTCTGCTTTTCCTCTTTCAAGTCATGCAGAATGGTATTGGGTGGGAAATCTGGTTCATAGGTGATCATTTTTTCCTGTTGCTGGGACAAAATACCTACAATTCGAGGGAGGAAAGGTTTAACTTGGCTCACGGTTTCTGAGGATCTGGTCCTTGGGCAGGTGGCTCCAAGGCAAACTATTATGGCTTAATGGGGTGGTGGACCAAAGCTGCTCAGATTATAGTGACTGGGCAACACGGCAGGGGACCAGGGACCAGGCACTGGATGTAGACCTCCATGTCGCACTTCCATGGCTCACCCAGATGCACCCATAAATGTGCTTTTCTAATCTTCTACATAGTTCCCAAGCCAGTCAGGCTTAATGGTCACACAGAGTTGTCATAAAAATTATCAGTGAATGTATGGAGCATGTAAATTATTTGTAGAAGCAAAGAAAGGTGGATTTATTTTTCAAACACATGGATTCTTAGCCTCTTCCTTATGGATGATGTTTAGAAATTCCTGAAGTTCCTGAAATATAAGGCAAAATAAGTGGATATGTATTTTTATTTTTCTAGGGAAAAATCCCCAGAAAAAATGGATCTCATTTATGACTTTTAAAATGCTGAGTATCATTGTTAAAGGTTTTGTCATTTTAGGACCAAGCTTTCCTATATAGTCCAGGCTGACATTGAACTTACTTTGTAGCCCAGGACTTAAACTTGCAACAGTCCTCCTGTCTCAGCCTTTTCATTGCTGAGATTATGAGCATGCACCATCATGCTGGTTAAATATTTTTTTTAAAAATAAGTTTAATTCAGCAAAACTAAGTGCTTTGATAATGTTTGACTTATTCAAAAACATAAACTTTTCTCATTTAGTTAAGGAAAATGAGGCCCAGATGCTGATTGATTTTCCTAGTAACACAAATTTAATTCTCTTAATTTTAAGTCCATTCATCCTCTTACAATTTTTTTTTTCTCGGAAGTGGGGATTGAACTCAGACCCTTGCGCTTGCCAGGCAAGCACTTATTCTACTGAGCTATCTCCCTGGGCCCTCTTACGATAATTTTTAAAGTATTCCTTTTTCTCCTTTTTCTGCCTTTCCAGGGTAAGGATGAAAGATAAAAGTACTATAGTTCCAAAAACATACCATAGTTCAATTAGTACATTTTTTCTCTTGCCCCAAGAATGTCCCTTAGTTCTATTGAAGTTTTTGATGACGAGCCCTATAGGTGTATAACTTCAAGTGCTAACATATAACATTGCCTATAAATCACCTGAGATCAAGGGAAACCAAGAGAGGATGGGTTCAGCTAGTAAAGACACGTTTATTTGGCTAGGTATGTGGGAAAAAGTAGTTTAGAAGTGGTCGTACTATGCTTTTTGTGCTGCTGCTTTCTTTTCCTGTGTTCTAGCATATAAACTAGTCTTCTTCCCCATC